AGGTGAGGATCCAAATTCATCTATTCTTACATCTCATTGGTTAAATTTATTCAGTTGTATCACCACCATTTGTTGAGTAGACTATTCTTTCCCTCATTGAATGATCTTGTCACCTTTGTCAAAGACCAATTGCCCATAGATATGTAGGTTTAATTCTGGCCTCCCATGTCTACCCCATTGATCTTGATATCTATGCTGATGCCAGTAGCACACTCTTTTAATTACTGTAACTTTGTAGTAGTGAAAATTGAAATTGGAAAGTGTAACTCCTTCATATTTTTTCTTCTTTTTCAAAATTGTTTCAACTGTTTGGGTTTCCTTGCAATTTCATAAATTTTAGGATCAGCTTGTATGTTTCTGCAAAAAAAGCAGTGGGAATTTTGATAGAATTACAGTGAATCTGTAGATCTATTTGCAGAATATTGCCATCTTAACAAAATTAAGTCTTCCATTAACATGGGCTGCCTTTCCAGTTACTTGTGTCTTCTTTAAATTCTTTCAACAATGTTTTGTAATTTTCAGTGTACAAGTCTTACATCTCCTTGGTTAGTTTATCCATAAATATTTATACTTTTTAATAATATTGTAGAAGGAATTATTTTCCTAATTTTATTTTTTAAATTTTCATTGCTACTGTATAGAAATGCAACTGATTGTTGTATGTTTTCTTTAGAATTTTCTCTATATTAGATTCTGTCATCTGTGAATAGAAATAGTTTTACTACCTCCTTTCCAAGTTGCAGTACAATGTTTAATAGAAGTGACTAAAATGGACATTCTTGTCTTTTTCCTAATCTTAGAGGAAAGCTTTTGGTCTTTTGCCGTTAAGTATGATGTTAGCTGTGGGTTTTCTCCATATGTGGCTTTTATCTTGTTAAGGAAGTTTTCCTTTATTCCTAGTTTTTAAACTGTTTTTGTCATAAAAAAGTGCTACATTTTGTCAAATGCTTTTCCTATCTCAAGGTAATCATGTCAGTTTTCCTGCCATTAATATGGCATATTACATTGGTTGCTTTTTATATGTTGAAATACTTCTGCATCCTGGGATAATTAGAAATCAATGTTGATGGACATAAAATATACAGAGATGTAATTTGTGATCATAACAGCATAAGCAAGGTGAGAGAGGAGTGAAACTCTATAGGAGCAAAGTTTTTGTGTGCTGTTGATATTAATTCAAACTAGATTTTTATAAAGATGTTAATTGTAATCCTTAGAGCAACCACAAAGAAAATATTTAAGAAACATATAGTAAAATAAATGAGAAATAAAATGGCACACTAGAAAAAAATCTCACACAAAGAAGACAGTAGTAGAGGAATTGAGAAACAAAACAAAGTTATAAGACACATAGAAAACAAACAAAAATAGCAGAAGTAAGTCTTTATAATTAATACATTAGATGTAGATAGATTAAACTCTCCAATTAAAATGCAGACATTGGTAGAATGGGTGCTGTCTTTTAAATGATATAGAAAAAAAGTTATGAGCCAAAAATAATTTAAAACTGAGTCTTTACCTATGTAGTTACTTTCACTGGTGTTTTTGATGTCTTTGTGTGGAATTGAGTTGCTTTCTGGTGTCTTTTCATTTCAGCCTCAAGGATTTCTTGTAGGGCAGGTCTACCAGTGATAAACTATCACAATTTTTGTTTATTTGGGAAAGTCTTAATTTCTCCCTTATTTGTGAAGGATAGTTTTGCCCACTATAGAATTCTTATTCACAGTTTGTTTTATTCTTTCTTTTTTATTTTGATACTTGAAGTATGTTGTGCCACTACCCTTTAGCTTCACTGATTTCTGATGAGAAAGCTGTTTTTCTTATTGAGAATCCCTTGTCCATGATAAGTCACTTCTCTCACACGGCTTTCAGGGTTCTCTTATCAAGTTTGGGAAGTTTTCAGGCATTGTGTCTTCAAATCAATATTTTCAATATAGTCAATGAGCTAAAGAAAGCCATGTACACAGAACTAAAGGAAAATATGAGAATGGTATCTCACCAAATAGAGAATATCAATAGATAGATTTTTAATTATAGAAAAAAAGAAACAAATTATAGTGTTGGAATGTATAATAACCAAAATTTAAAAAAATGATTAGAGGGGTTCAGCAGCAGAATTTAGCAGGCAAGAGAAAAACAGTGAACTTGAAGACAGGTCATTTGAGATGACCCAACCCAAGAAGCAGTAGAAAGGAAAGAATGAAAGAAAAAAATGACCAGAGCCTGGGACTTGTGGACACTGTCAAGCATACCAATGTCTACAGAATAGGAGTTCCACAAAGAGAGAGAAGGAAAAAAAGGAAAAGAGCAAATATTTGAAGAATCGATGAAGCAAGGAGTTGATGGCAAACAATAGGCAAATCAAAACAGTTGAGAGGAAAGGCTGGGAGTAGATGCTTTGAGGAGCAAGAGCTTTGCAAAGCTCCCACATATTCCTAGATATCCAGAATTGCCAGGGCTTGGAGATTGCTCAGAAAAGACCAGAGAAACTCGTAAGCTCTCACCTCTGATTTACCTTCAGGTTTGGTTGCAAACAGGAAACGAAGGCTAAGACAGTGTTGCAAACTGCCTGGCTGAGTATTGAAGGCATGCCCCAATATATGCACAGAGCCTATTTACAAAGACTGGGAATTTTGTTTTTGGTTTGGTTCCAGTTATTTCAGGGAGTATCTGTTGAATAACTGGATGACCACTAAGCTAAAGGAACAAAGATTTCTATGGCCACACACAAACAGACTTTACAAAATTTGTTCAAAAAATGACAGCGACAACAAATCTCAGAGAGGAGAGAGAATCTGACTTCTGGAGTTGCAACATTATATAATCTCTAAGATGTCCAATTTTCAACCAAAAATTATGAGTCAGGAAAAGAAACAAGAAATTATGGCCCATTCACCGGGGAAAAAAAATAATAGGAACTATTCCCAAGAAAGTCCAAGCATTGGACTTATTAGACAAAGAGTTGCTCCAGGTGGCAGTGGTTTATACATTTGCCTGTCAGTATTTTCAGTAAGTGTTCCCTATGTAGCCACCTCAGTCCTGGGAGAGTTTCAAGTTGGGTGATACAACAGTAAGTCCTTTGAACTGGTCCTTCAGGGAAACCTGAGAGAGGTCAAAACAAGCACAAATCTTTGAGAATAAGATCTATTCTGTTCCCTTCAGCATTAGGAACCTATACCAGAAATATGGGCTGTTGTCTTCAATTTTGCCAACAAGCTGAGGGATGGTGTCAAGGTTAAGATAAAATGCCACAAAGCTCTCTTATCAAGATTCAGGGCAGGGCAGGGCGTGGTGGCTCACGCCTGTAATCCCAGCACTTTGGGAGGCCAGAGCGGGTAGATCACTTGAGATCAGGAGTTCGTGTACAGCCTGGCCATTGGAGAAACCCCATCTCTACTAAAAATACAAAATTAGCTTGGTGTAGAGGCACATGCCTGTAATCCTGGCTACTTGGGAGGCTGATGCAGGAGAATAGCTGGAACGCAGGAGGTGGAGATTGCAGTAAACCGAGATCATGCCATTGCCCTCCAGCCTGGATAACAGAGCGAGACTCCATCTCAAAAAACAAAAAAGAAAAAAAGATTCAGCTGGATTTTTTTTAGCATTCAACTGGTTTTGCTGTAAACTTTTGATTCATTTCCAGAGTTCCAATAAAATTGATTCTGGAAGTTTTACTAGTTTATTTGCTGCTTTTAGGGAGGAACAAAACTTTGGCTTTCTCTACTCCACCATTTTCACTGATGTCACTCTCTTATGTTGTCTTTTGATAGCTGAATTCATGGGAATTACATTCAGAATGATGTGACTGCAACAAATTAAGTGCATTTCAAAGGGGAGAAGGAAAGAGTTTAACAAATTCTTTTTGGGAGTATCTAAAGGGTGGTTAATAATGGCTTAATTGTTGACAATTTACTGTAGGGGAGTAAGGTAATGGCTAGCTACATAACGGGTGACCCTAGAACGTTTACAAGGAAAAGTTCTGTGGAATTGCATGAAGAAGGGTGAGTGAGCTAAGGACTGTTTGCTTTTATTGAGGAAACTGCTCCAGGGACCTTACATTTAAGGACTCTGATTCCTACTTAGGATAGTCCCTGAGTGTGTTCACTACAGATGCAGGACGGTCTGTCTGCTGAGGTGAGGCCAAGAGGCATGGGCCTGTTCTCTGGCACACTAGAGTGGAGGATGATTTTCTTGGCAGAATGGAAGAAATATAGAAAGTCAAAAAAAAAAAAAAAAAAAAAGAAAAGATATGAAAAAGACATATAAGAAACAATCAATATAAAGGAACAAATTAAATAATATGATATGGTAGAAAACCATAAGGAAAAGAAATTGTGCCTTCATAGTTACTAGTGGCTATTCAACTAAAAATAACCTTTGTTTTAGTTTGATTTTGAAGCCTAGAACACTAAAGCTTCCCAGAGATCATCATCACATCACAAAGTTCCTGGCATTTGTTTGGGAAGAACACAGGGGTTATATTGGCTGATGACATCCACTCTAAAGGTTATGGAAGCAATCTTAGCTGTAAGCTCTGGAACTTTTACTTGAGCCTGTTCATGTCTGCAGATTCACATGTATAGAACTAGATAGAGTGAGAAAAACTCTGAAATGTATTTCTAATGACAGACATGGTGTGTAGAAGACGGAATGGTTTAGGAATCAATTTAAAAAAATATTTCCTGGTATTCTATGAGTCTGACTTTGAAAAGTAAGCAAACAGCTTTGCCAGTGATGGCAAGAAGTTGTTGAGTTTCCTGGCTGTGAGCCAGAAATCAAGGGACAGAATATGCCATAAAAGTCCTGCAAGAATGTATTTGACAGAAGACTCACCAAACAAATCAAAAGGGTTATGAATTGAATTTCAAGAGCAAATCATTTTAATAAAAGCTAATTTTTATTAAGCTCCATGTACACTGATCTCAACATTTTACATGTATTCACTCATTTAATTTTTACAATTTTATAATGTAGGTTCTGTTGTTATCCTCATTTTATAGATGAGAAACTGAAGCACAGAAAGGTAAAGTACTTGCTCAAGAAAACAAAGCTCTTGAATTGAGATTCAGGATCCAAAATGTCCAAATAGGAACAGCTCTGGAGTGCAGTTCCCAGTGAGAACACAGAGGGTAAGTGATCACCATATTTCGAAATGAGTTTTCACTGCCCACAGCCCAGGAGATTCCTGGGTGGAAAAGCGCCGTGAGTCTCCAGTATGGCTGTTTTAGCTGGCGCAGCGGGTCTCTGCACAAAAACTCACACAAATCTAGGAACCGTTTCAACTGGCGCCTGGAATGCCTGGGAGACAGTCACCCATTCACCTGAAAAAAAGTGGGCTGAAACAGGGAGCCAGATGATCTGGCTCAACGGGTCCTACCCCCACAAAGAACAGCAATCTGAAATGCTCTGGATTGAGTTTCATAGCAAGCACAGCTGGACTCAGGATGATCCAGCTCTGTGGGGGGAAGGGCGTCCACCATTACTGAGGCAGTCCACCACCACCACCAAGGCAGTCTGCCATTACAAGGCAGTCCACCATTTCCAAGGCAGTCCACCATTACCAAGGCAGTCCACCATTACCGAGGCAGTCTGCCATTACAGAGGCAGTATGCCATTACCGATACAGTCCACCATTACTGAGGCAGACTGCCATTACTGAGGTAGTTATAACTATACTTCTATAAACAAAACCACAAGGAAGTTTACACAGCAGCTAGGCAGAGCCAATGGCAGCTCAGCAATGCCTCTGTTGGCAGACTGTGACTAGGCTACCTCCTCACTGGGCAGGGCATCTCTGAAAAAAGGCAGCAGCACATCAGGAACTGATAAATAAAGCCCCACCTTCCCAGGACAGAGCACCTGGGAAAAAAAGACGGTTATGAATTCCGCTGCAGAAGACTTAAACCTACCTGCCCAGTAGCTCTGAATGGAACAGTGGAACTCACAGCTCAGCACTTGAGCTCCTATAAGGGACAGACTGTCTCCTCAAGCAGCTCCCTGACCTCCGTATATCCAAAGAGACCTCATAAAGGAGAGGTCAGGCTGACATCTGGTGGGTATCCTTCTGTGACAAAGATAACAGAAGAAGAAACAGGCAGCAACTCTTACAGTTCTGCATCCACTGCATGTCCACAGGCAAGCAGGGTCTGAAGCGGACCTATAGCAGAGGGGCCTGTTAGAAGGAAAACTAAAAAACAGAAAGAAATAAATTCATCATCAGCAAAAAGGACATTCACTCAGAGACCCAACCTGAAAGTCACCAACTACAAAGACCACAGGTAGATAAATCCACAAAGATGGGAAGAAACCAGCACAAAAGGATGAAAACACCCAAAACCAGAATGTCTCTCCTCCTCCAAGAGATCACAACTCCTCACCAGCAAGGGAACAAGGCTAGCTGGAGAATGAGTCTGATGAATTGACAGAAACAGGCTTCAGAAAGTGGGTAATAACAAACTTCTCTGAGCTAAAATAACATGTTCAACCCCAATGCAAAGAAACTAAGAACCTTGAAAAAAGGTTTGATGAAATGCTAATGAGAATAGACAGCTTAAAGAAGAATATAAATGAATTGATGGAGCAGAAAAACAGAACATGAGAACTTCACAAAGCATACCCAAGTTTCAATGGCTGAATCAACAAAGCAGAAGAAAGGATATCAGAGATTTAAGGTCAACTCAATGAAATAAAATGAGAAGGCAAGATTAGAGAAAAAAAGAGTCAAAAGAAATGAACAAAGCCTCCATGAAAAATGGGATTATGTGAAAAGACCTAATCTATGTTAGATAGGTGTACCTGAATGTGACAGAGAGAATGAATCCAAGCTGGAAAACACTCTTCAGGATATTATCCAGGAGAACTTCCCCAACCCAGCAAGGCAGGCCAATATTCAAGTCCAGGAAATATAGAGAACACCACAAAGATATTCCTCAAGTAGAGCAACCCCAAAGCACATAATCATCAGATTCACCAGGGTTGACATTAAGGAAAAAATGCTAAGGGCAGTGAGAGAGAAAGGTCAGGTTACACACAACGGGATCTCTCAGACTCACAGCGGATCTCTCAGCAGAAACCCTACAAGCCAGAAGAAAGTCAAGGCCAATATTCAACATCCTTAAAGAAAAGAAATTTCAACCTAGAATTTCATATCCAGCCAAACTAAGCTTCATAAGCAAAGGAGAAATAAAATCCTTTATGAACAAGCAATTGCTCAGAGATTTCACCACCACCAGGCCTGCCTTACAAGAGCTTTTGAAAGAAGCACTAAACATAGAAAGGAACAACCAGTACAAGCCACTCCAAAAACATACCAAATGGTAAAGACCATTGACACAATGAAGAAACTGCGTCAACTAATGGGCAAAACAGCCAGCTAGCGTCAAAATGGCACGATCAAATTCACACATAACAATATTAACTTTAAATGTAAATGGGCTAAATGCCCCAATCAAAAGACACAGATTGGCAAATTGGATAAAAAGTCAAAACCCATTTAGTGTGCTTTATTCAGGAAACCCATCTCACATGCAAGGACACAAATAGGCTCAAAGTAAAGGGATGGAGGAAGATTTACCAAGCAAATGGAGAGCAGAAAAAAAAGCAGGAGTTGTAATCCTAGTCTCTGATAAAATAGACTTTAAACTAACAAAGATCAATAGAGACAAGGGCATTACGTAATGGTAAAAGGATCAATGGAACAAGAAGAGCTAACAATAAATATATATACACCCAATACAGGAGCTCCCAGATACATAAAGCAAGTTCTTAACAACCTGCAAAGAGAATTAGACTCCCACACAATAATAGTGGGAAATTTTAACACTCCACTGTCAATATTAGACAGATCAATAAGACAGAAAATTAACAAGGATATCCAGGACTTGAACTCAGATCTGGACCACGCAAACCTAATAGACATTTACAGGACTCTCCACCCCAAATCCAGAGAATAAACATTCTTCTCAGCACCACGTCACACTAAAATTGACCACATAATTGGGAATAAATCACTCCTCAGCAAATGCAAGAGAAGGGAAATAATAACAAACAGTCTCTCAGACCACAGTGCAATCAAATTAGAACTCAGGATTAAGAAACTAACTCAGAACCACACAACTTCATGGAAACTGAACAACTGACTCTTGAATGTTGACTGGATAAACAATGAAATGAAGACAGAAATAAAGATGTTCTTTGACACCAACGAGAATGAAGACACAACATACCAGAATCTCTGGGACACATTTAAAGCAGTGTCTAAAGGAAAACTTATAGCAGTAAATCCCCACATGAGAAGCAAGGAGAGATTGAAAATCGACACCCTATCATCAAAATTAAAAGAGCTAGAGGAGCAAGATCAAAAATACTCAAAAGCTAGCAGAAGACAAGAAATAACTAAGATCAGAGCAGAACTGAAAGAAATAGAGACACAAAAAACCCTTCAAAAAATCAATAAATCCAGGAGCTGATTTTTGAAAAGATCAACAAAATAGACTATTAGCTAGATTAATAAAAAAGAAAAGAGAGAATAATCAAATAGATGCAATAAAAAAATATATATTTTATTGCACTTTAGGTTCTGGGGTACATGTGAAGAACATGCAGGATTGTTACATATGTACACACACGACAATGTGGTTTGCTGCCTACATCCCCCCATCACCTACATCTGGCATATCTCCCCATGTTATCCCTCCCTGACCTTCCCCATCCCACCCCCCCAGCGTCCTTCCCTTGGCCACCCCAACAGACCCCAGTGTGTGATGGTGATGCTCCCCTCCCTGTGTCCGTACGTTCTCATTGTTCAATACCCACCTTTGAGTGAGAACATGCAGTGTTTGATTTTCTGTTCTTGTGTCAGTTTGCTGAGAATGATGGTTTCCAGATTCATCCAAGTCCCTACAAAGGACATGAACTCATCATTTTTTATGGCTGCATAGTATTCCATGGTGTATATGTGCCACATTTTCCTTGTCCAGTCTATCATTGATGGGCATTTGGGTTGGTTCCAGGTCTTTGCGATTGTAAGCAGGGCTGTAATGAACATACATGTGCATGTGTCTTTATAATAGAATGATTTATAATCCTTTGGATATATACCCAGTAATGGGATTGCTGGGTCAAATGGAATTTCTATTTCTAGGTCCTTGAGGAAGCACCACACAGTCCTCCACAATGGTTGAACTAAGCTCATTCATGAGGAGTCTGACCTCATGATCTCATTATCTCCCAAAGGCCCCACATCTGAATACCATCATTTTTGGGATACAGTTTCAAAACATGAATTTTGGGGGGGACACAAACTTTCCAAAAATAGCAATAAGTAATAAATAGAATGTAATGGGTCATGGTCCCACTCACAGTGGGTCCACTGGGACCATGGACATTGCTGTTGTTCCTGAATGCATAATTAGGAAAGATATACCCGGTGACTGGTGCAACCCCAGATTAACCTGTGGGATAAGGAATGTCATAAAGGGGACAGTGAAGTACAGATGTCCAAAACTTCCCCCCAAATAGTGAATCAAGGTCGATATTGAATCCCAAGAAGATGGGAGAAATTCCTGGCATGCTACTGAGCCCTGATCAAGTTATTTGACCATGGGACATCATGTGTCCAGAACTGCTCATTGTGAGCTGGGTTATATGACTCACCAAGTAATATGGTCAAGAGGGCCCAGCAATCTACCCAGAGTTGAGCACAAATAGGACCAGAATGCGTGGGCACACCCACGTGTCATCCACTGCTGTTGCATTATCTCGCCTCCCACACACCTATTGCTGCATGAGATAGTCCTTACAACCAGCTGTCAGAGGAGGAGAAAACCTGAGCTTGGTTCACAGGTGGATCTGCTTGGTATGTGAGTGAAAGCTGAAAATGGATGCAACTCTACTACAACCTGAATCACGTGTAGCCTTGAAAGAGAATGGTGAAAGAAAATGTTTCCAGTAGGCAGGGATTTTAGTGATGTACCTGATCATCCACTTTGTGTAGATAGAGAAGTGGCCTCAAGTTAGAATATAATCTGATTCATAGGCAGTGGTGAATGGCCTGGCCAGCTTGTCAGAAGCCTGTAAGAAGAAATATTGGAATGTAGGGAAAAGGAGGTCTGGGATGAAAGCATATGGATGAATATATCAAAGTGGGTGCAAAGAGTGAAGATTTTTATATAGCATATTTATTCTCACCA